GGGGGGGAGGAGTAGATCCTGTTTTGTCAGTGTAGGCACCAAATTGCTTCAGATAGCTATTTTGGACTAGATTAATTACTGATGTATTGTCAACAAAGTTGATTCACAGCTCAGAAACATGGAAAATTCTCTTTTAAATGTATTAGCCTGAATTCTGAAATGAAGGGAAAAGAGCATAAAGTGTACTTTACAGACTTGCTGAACTTTTGTCTCATTTAAGGAATAGTGGTTTGAAAACTCCTGCCCAGGAACATGCACACAGACTTTCCATGTGCATCATTAGCAACTGGGGAACATACTTCAGAGGCCAAGTTTAGTCCCTCATTGATCTTAATTCTACTTTAAATATGAATACAAATGCGTACAATGAAGGCGTTCAGAAGGACGCTCTGCCATCTTAGTCGCACTGCACAGGACGTACATCTGGATTAAGTTTTTGAGCGCTTCATAATATCCTTTGGTCCTTTGGACCTTGTGGATAGCACTGCTGCAAAAATAGGAGGGCAAACGTCTTTGTAGAGCTATCAGCAGCCTCTCAGAAAACTCCTGTGGGAACACGGGTGGGGTGATGCCTCCGAAGGCAGGTGGTGGGGTGGATTTCTTGTGTCTGCCTATGCTGGCAGGTTAAAGAGGGGTTGGGGGGAAAGTCAGCATGAGACAGCGCATCGCCGTCCATTAGTTACCCGTTCAGATTCAACCACATGAAATACAGGCAACTCACAAACCGTATCTTGTAAATGCCTGTTATTCCAGCAGCTGAAATTCAACACATCTGTAGGTGTGCAGCTGGGCACGCTCAGCATGAATGGCAAACTAACGTAAATCCCGTATTAAATATTTTGTTTCACAGCCAATCTCACGTATATATGAGAGAAGTCTGTGCAAGTCTCTGGTAGCATAAGGTCCCATGGCATACAATTAGCAACCACACGGATGATACAAATACAGGGAGTAGCACACAAGGAGCACCCTTTTTAAATGCATGTCATCCGTAGAAAATCAAATCCATATCCATGATGTTACGAGGCTTTAGAAACGGTCAATGCTGAACGTGGGATATTTTTTTTTTCAATTCTTATAAATAATTATTTCCTCTGTTTGGTAAGATTAGCTACCAAGAATTTATGTTAAGACTGTGGAGAGGAGTACAGAATTTCGATACTATTGAGCTAAATAGGTGGCTTTAAAATATTTCTGTGGTACAAAAGCCTCGTATCAGAGGCAAATACACCGCTCCCTCAGTCTCTTTTCTCATTTATGAAATAAGCAAGCATCAACTATAAATTCTAATTTTCACCAAGTATGTTAGTAAATCCAAACTGACCTTGACCTTAGCTTTGCTAATTTCCAAACTCTGATATTTATTCCCGGAGTAGATTGTTTCCCTTCATACCACATACATAAATACTGCAAACCTTTCCGATGACTTGAATTAGAGTGTAAGTAAATAGCTGGTTTTAATCTACATAATATTTTGAGAGCAGACGTTCTGTGCTATGACTATTAAGATATACCCAGCAGCCATTTGTATAATACTAAAACCTCTTACATATATTATTAAAAGTAATGCTATCAGCCAGGGCTTGTTTTATGCCACAGAAACTTAAATAATAAAATACAGGGTGGATAAAATCTGCAATAATAGTAACTTAAGCAAAATTAATTTAAGTAACAGATAACATCTGGGGGAAAATGTAATGGTATATTGGTAAGTTATGCAAAGCTAATTTTATAATAACCACCACATCTGTGGAACTCATTTATTAGAACGCTTTACCAGTCTTCTTTCCTGCCATTATTCTGGTTTAGAAATTTTCCTGTGTACTATTTTCTTGTCTTTGCTCTGCCTCCATTTGTAAAAAAAGGTAATTTGCTAGCTCTCAACAACAAGAAGAGTGCGTAGGTTTCCGTACAGAACAACACGACGCTTTCTATTCTTACCTCTCCTTACGCACACTTTTACTAGACAGAATTCCAGAGAAAAACTGTGGCATGGGGCTGTACGTTGAGAGCAATGTTTGAACACCAGCTCCAGTCCTCAGCTGTGACTACAGAGGCTTGATGCAACCGGGGTGGGAAAGTAAAGGTGACGCTGAATGATATTTCCCACATGAACTTCTGCTGAGTGTTAGAGCAGCTTCTAGCCTGTTGTAACCTGTCCAGATTTAAGTGGCCTTTTGGCACCCCACCACACCTAGGAATTAATAAGAATATTGCATTTAACTTCTGCTCCCTCCAGTCTCATGCGGCACATCCTTTTATCCGCAGCTGACACTGATATGCCATCTACATTTGTGCAACTGCCTTGTGATTTCTTTATGTTTGAATTCTCATGGACCCATTGGACCGCAGCGTGCAGGAAAATATTGCCAATTAATTTTAAGGCATTATCATCTTGCCAAACTTTCTCACATTTCAATAGTTACATTGATTCGAGAGGACACTTTGAGTAATACGTCTTTGTCATAGTGAATAATGCTCACATAATGACAAATCTTCAGGAATTAAAAAAAAAAAAGGAGGAGGAATTTTTTAATGTAGGTCAGTGGAAGTAATTCGCCATAAATTTGCTCAGACTTCAGAAACTAGCAACATTTTTAAAGCCACTGTGACTGTATAAAACTTACTGTGTCTCCTCTGTTTTTAAATAGATTTTACTACAGAGCCATTGGTGCTATTAAACATGAGGTTTTGTTCAAAGGAAACACAAAGACTTAATTGTATTTTTTAAAGGAAAGTATTGCATCAGAAGGATTAATTTAAATACGTTTGTTGGCTTCAGGCTCTTACCACAATTCATTCGTTCTAATTTTCCCCTGGACTTGTTAAAGGACACAATGTATAGGCAGGAGCGATGCAGAATGGCATTTTTAGGTCACTATATTTTGGCTGTAAACTGTAGTACTACTCATAAACTTATTATTACTAAACAAAATACTTCATATTCTACGTTGAAGTTTCACAGTCTTTTGAAAAAAAAAACAAAACAAAACCTTTTGGCTGCATGTTGAGACTATTATGGCTCATTAAAGAGACTAGTTCTGCTGTAATTTAGTTATTTCTTAATGATCCAAGTGTTATTATTAGACACGGAACAGATGAGTAAAGAATGGTTGTCTTTAAAAGGACGCAGCGAAGTAAAAATATTATTCTAAAACAGAACCTCTGAAAATCTTATCCATGCTGCGAAATATTTATTTGATCAATCAGGAATTGATTTTAAAAACCCAGGCTGGTTTTTTACATTATTTCATTTTCTGAAATTTAGACTGGAGGGAATAAATGAAATAATGATTTAATCTAAATAAAGAAAATACTTTGAGTGAATAACTAACTAGCCAAAAAATGTTATTTTAAGGAAGCAGAAAGTAATTGTAAATTCTCATCCAATTCAGCTAATATTTTTTAAGAAGAAAGCATAAGGTAAGAAATCAGAGAACATGGAACTATTTGCTAAATCAAAAGAGCTCTATTTAAAAAAAAAAAAAATTGAGAACAAAGCTTCTTTTTATTTTAGACAGAATAACATTTAGCTCAGCTCAAGGCTTTTTCATTTTGATGTGAAGCTGAACTTTCGGACTATTCCTTTTGTGAGTCTGTAGGCACTAGCACAGTGCTGTAAAATTTGAGTCACAAGTGATACAGGGGAAATGCTTCTATAAAATCTGGTTTTCTCCTCACTTAAGTTCTGGAAATCTTTCTGTCAGCCTTTTGGGTTCTTATAAACGTGGGCTAATACTGTCTACCTTTTTTTAGTGAGCTTACACATGACAGGGAATCTTTGAAGATAATGGCAGAGTCCAAACATAACTTCTGGAAAGCTTTTAGGACTATGAAAGAGATTTTTTAATGCAATAAAGTCCAATGGCTAGGTCTCACTGTTTATTTTCAATTTTTTCTATCACTTTTGCAAAGGTATAGAACCTTTCATATTTTCAGCATGTTCAACGGTAGCAAGTAACTAAATAAATCAAATATCAACCTAGCTATGATTTCAAAGGTATGAGGAAATTAATTTATGGGAGCTGTAATTACCCTGATGTGAATTAATGTCGTTGTCTTACACCATCCAAGCAAAATCATGCTTGTAATAGCTGACTCAGAACTGGAACATCTGCCTGGTATTCTCAGTGGGCACTTCCCCTTGTAGAGGCCCCAGACATACCATTTTAGTATTATACCCTGTTCCCTGCTCTCTCAAAAACACCTTATGTCACCCCATTTGGGGTGTATGTTTTCCATCATCCATTTTTAAAAAAAATAAATTACACAAGCCTTGTCCCTTTAGAGGACGCAGGGCCACCTTCTGCATTGATGGGAAGAGCCTGAGCATGGGCTAAATGCTGCATCCAGCTGCTCCTGGGGGGAAAAGCCGTTTCCTTGTCAGAGCATCCCTGGAGCTGCAGTTCACAAAACCAGTGAGGTTCCCGTCTTCACAGGAAAGAGAAACAGGAGCAAGCTGATGAAGCAGCCAAACTTGGACCGTTGCGACTCTTAAATTCTAGTCACATACTGAAGTGGTTTTCTTAGGACCTTATTTGATGCAGTGTCACTGCAACTTTACTCCAGCTGACTCCTTTGATAGGACACCTTAGTGGTCAGCTGGGCCCTTTCATTCCAAAATACAACAAGATTCCTGTTCAGGAGTGACAAATGTGCATTGGGAAGACTGCACTGTCATTTTCTAAACTTAATTATCCACATGAGTAAAAAGTTGTAGTGTTATGAGATTATGAAAATCATCTGCTCTTTCCAAGTCTTATAAAGAGGGCCTCCGGAGATACAGCTAGAAATTAAAGCTGATCTATAATCATTGTCAGTGTGCTTTCCAGTTCTGAGCACCTGGATAGTAACAAAAAAGGTATTGTTTTTTGTTGTTTGCCAGCCATTTCATTTCAATTTTAAAAAATCTGCAGTAAACCTCTGAGCAATAATTAAACCTGAATTACTTTTTTTTTCCTTATTTTTTTCTTTTTTTTCTTTTTTTCTAATACTGCCAGAATGTGATTGAACTTGCCCAACCTGCAGTTCCCCCCTTCCCTGCTCTGCTGGAGGAAGGCATACCTTCGGATACCTATTCGCCACTCATAGCATCACTAACAGCTGCAGAGACAGAATCGAAGGTAAAGAATTTTGTAACTTTTTTTTTTTTTTAAAAAAAAAGGCTCTTTTTCTATGAGTCCTCTACCTCATTTATTCCCACTGGACCCCAGCCACTAATGACATTTGTTCTCCAGAATCTAGCCTGCATTCTCTCTTAAGGTTGAATGAAATTACTTTTAATGCATTAATCAGTCAGCAGAGAACATTTGAGTCAGCACCTCTGGGCTCTCACCCCATGCGACTCCAATAACCTCAGGATCTGCCAGGCCTGGGCAGTGAAAGGCAGATGCTGGTGGTCTCTGTCAGAGCAGAAGTTCTCAAGAGCAGGCTTCGTGTCTTGTCGCGTGTCCGTGGACTGACGCTGATCTCGTAGAGAGCAGGAGGATGTTCTAACTCATACCTTTCCTGTGGTTGGTTGCTGCTAGGTGTCTGATCAAGAGGGTTACCTGGAGGACTCCCATCCAGAAGCAGAGTCCTTCGAGGCAGATGCTGTGCCTGGGGTCACTGCTGAAGATCAGAAGCCCGCAGTGGGTGAAATACCAAATGAAATTATTGGCAACCTTGAGGTACTATTACTAGAAAGCTATTCACTAATTCTGTCTATGGTTAATTAGCTAGCTCAGCCTTAATGAATATAAACTGTATTCATGCTAAAGCTGGCAAAAAGCACATCCATATGCTGTAAAAATGTGAATTAGCCTCTATAAATAACTCCTAGTTTAGTCAGCTTACATGTGATAAGATAAAAAATATTCAGCAATATAACAACATATATTTTCAGCATTACTACGTGTTAAGAAACACGGGTCAAATCCTGCTCTCGGTGATGTCAGTGATAAAATCCCTTTTCAGGGGTTCAGGATCAGCTGCTGTGATGGAGCATACGCAACGTGTGCTTAATATAGATTGTTAGATGCATCTATGTTGCACATCCTTCAATCGGTGTAAGAAATAACACGTTTATGCCAGTTCGAGGCTTCATTTGGTAGGTGCATAAGTCTACAAGAGGAACAGATCCGGTTTCAGTGCGTGATCTGCAGACTCCGAGCTTGGAATACATCAGTTCTTCCAATGGCGTTCTTGAAAGGGAAGGAAGCTGTTGTCAGTTGACTTAAATTTTGTTGTAGGGCGATCGGCTTCTCCGCAGGGAGGTCTGTAAATTGAAACATGTGGGAAGCCAGCAGAGTAGATCATTGTTATTTTGTAAACTGCTCCCTCAAGCATATGAAATTATTGAAAGCAAACCAGCTAGAACTCAGCTCCACCAAGGAGCTGGTGTAATTTGGTCTTTTTTTTGCGACAACCAGGTGACGTTAGGCACTTTAGATACAGCACAATGGACACTGCTGACCGAGCAGCAGTTTATTAAATATCTAATATTATCCGAAATTAGTGTGATATTGATAAATTGCTTTGTATGAATTATGCGTGAATAATAAATTAGAATAATGATGCTATCATTAGATCTACCTATTTGATTACATGTTCCATTTCGACATGTCTTTAGAAACAGGAGGGAACCAGCCCTATGTTCTCTTATTCGTGTCCCTACCCAGAGAAAAAGTGAAATTCCTGGTTTTCACTTGACCTTAATTTCATTAAGATCAGCACTAAGAACTTTTTTTTCTTTACAAAAACTGCAGAGATGACAAAATTTTTTTTTATTCCACTTCTTTTGCAACTTTGGTTATATACAAAGAAAATAACTTCCTTTTAGTTTTTAAAAGTCTTCCACCAATGTATGTTTTTCACCCGATTTCTCAGTTTCTTGACCTCTGAGGTAATTTTACCATTAGATTTTTTTACCTGATACGCGGTCAGACTCATACCGTTTTGTTGTTAAGTGTGAGCTGAGATTTCACGATATACATTATGTCTCCAGGGAACATAGGGCAGCTGTTGCTGTAGATGAGTCTAGAAAATATTTTTTAGCCTGAAATCACAGTGCTGACACTCAGTGATCACAACAGCAGGCGTAGTGAAGTACAGTGGCAGCTGATTTTCACTGAAGGTAGAATTGGAGGCAGAGGGATGTAAAAACTGGAGAAGAAAAGGATGCTGGGAGAGGATTAGCCTGGAGGATCAGTGTATAATTATAAAGCAACTAATTATACATATAATGCGAAGGGGTAGGGACAGATTTGTTGATACTTGAGGATGGATTGAATATGGCGAAGGCCACCTCCAAAGATAGAAAGCCGAGATAGAAATTCCAGCGTTTTGATGCTAATCTGAGCTACTGAGAACTCTGGGAACATTTTAGCTGTGGTTATCCATCGAGAGGTTGCAGAATGGCACTCACAGGGATTTCTAGGACTGGCAAAACAAAAAGTCCCTAAAATGGCAAGTTACTGCAAGTCCTCCTGGGTCAAATCCATTCCCTTTGTCAAAGTTTGATGAAGTCCATTCAGAAGGTAACTCTGAGTTTTGGAACTGTTTATGTGGAGTCTGTAAAGCACCTCTGAGCCTGTTCCAGTTGTTTGAACGAAACTCTGCATCTCTTGGAAAGGCTGTCATTGTGCCCCTTCCATTTCTCATGTATTTTTGCTGATAATGAGGAATAGACATAAATTCCCCGTAAAACCCCAGCGTTTGTGGCCTTTTTTCCACTGATCCCACATTTCCAAGTGCCGTAGAATTAAAGACAGCTACGCGTTATCACTGTCAAAGATTTCACTATGTCACAACCTTCGTGCCTTCCCCACCAACGTTTCGCTGCAAATTAAACACTCGATGCCTACTGCAGTCTGGATTTCCAGAGTGAGATACACATTCGTAATTGTGTTTGTAATTAAGACAGACAAGCAACATCACAGAAATATGGTTTTTTATTGTTCATTTTCAGTAATGCTTTCTAATTCCAGCAATGTTTCAATAAAATGTATTACACTAGAGAACAAACATCTGCAGCAAAGGAAAACAGTGGCAATGACCAAATCCCAAAGCAATTTTCCTGATTTGGTGTTTATTGGTAAAGGCTGTCTGAGAATACGGGCAAATTAGCCTATCTCCCAAGACAAGTTTACATGAGGAATGGTTGTCCCAGATCACTTCCCGTTCACGGCAGTCGTACCATACCTCGGAATTGTGCACGGTAACATGATAAAGCGTTATCACGTAAGTACAGGCTGAAACACGGTTATGTCTGCAAAACAGGAAGGTGTGTAGGATAATGTCTGTCTTACTGCACTACAGTGTGTCAAAACCACAAAGACAATGTGCAGCCTAAGATAGCTCCATCATAACCACTTTTTTTTCCTTCTGATTTTCTTTACAGGCGGAGATAAACGAAAAGCTGCAGATGCAAGAAGAAGCTTGTACTTTGAGAACAGAAAAATTAAAAAGTCCAAAATAGCCGGATAAGAAAGGTGACGTTGAACTTTACAGAAATTGGACAGTAGGGGATGGCACGCACAGAAGACTGGCTCCCTGCCTGAACGTAATTATTTTTGTATAAAGGAAAATGGTTCTGTTAACATTTACCTGGAAATAGTTCATCCCAGTTCCTCAAATTTACTGTGCTGTGCCAGTGTTGTTATTTGGTTAGGACTAAATTATAAACAGAAGGATGTGTAATTAAAACATGTTGAAGTTCAGTTTATTTCTGAATAGAAATCCCAATTAAAAAAAAAAAAAAAGAAGAAAAAGAGTTGCTGTAGTTTTATTCTCTTTCCTTCTTTACTTCTTCCAGTTGTGTAATATTTAACAGTTTCTGCTTTACACTTCCTTTAATTTTTTATTTTTTTTTCCCCAGGAACTTTTGCTAGAAGGAGAATACATAGAGAGGAAACATCATTTTGAGGCACTGCAGATATAATAAGGAGGAGAATTTAATTAACATGTAACTACACACTTTTCACTGTAGTTATTCACTAGCAACATGTATGTTATTTCATTTTTAAATTGCTTCTTAAGCTTTACACCAAATTTAATATCTTGCACTTCTTCATTTCCACCATATTAAAATTGCGTAAATGAAGAGTTTGCACTTTTCTTGGGAATGCTGTAAGAGTTCCTTTTGATTTCAGTGGAATTGTTTCTGGAATGCACGTAACCTTTCATCTCAGGTTTCCATATTTTGTCTGACGTTATAGAAATGTTTCAAACTCAAAAGGAATCTAACCTTCTCCAGCTGAACCTCCCAACTCTCCCAGCCTGTCCTCACAGGGGGGACTCCATCCCCCTGAGCATCTTCGTGGCCTCCTCTGGCCCCACTCGAGCAGGTCCATGTCCTGATGTTGGTGCCCCAGAGCTGGACCCAGCCCTGCAGGGGGGGTCTCATGGGAGCAGAATAGAGGGGGAGAATCCCCCCCCTTGCCCTGTTGGACTTGCTTGAATATTTCAAAATTGCGCCCCATATTAATTGTTGTGTTACAGAACTCCATCCCTGGAAAGCACGTTAAATACAAGCCATGCTTTCAGGCGTCAAGGCAGGATGGGATTGCAGGCTTAGTGGAACATTTGAGAAATAGAATGTTTAATTCATTACAATTTCACATTTGCTTAGGTTTTGTTTCATTTCATCCTCATGTTTTGATGATGATGAAAAAAAGTTTGCAAGCCTGACTCAGCCCAGCCAGGGAAAAAAAAAAAAAAAAAAAAAAAAAAAA